ATAATATCGCATATGGCAAGGCAATTTCGACAAGCCATCGCTCTTGATAACAGCAAATAAATGGTTCATTGGTACATTAGAAACAATAAATGAAAGGCCAAAGCCAGCACAACTATTTTGGCCATATTTCATAGAAATCAGATAGCTCGTTGCTGATACGAATGCTTAAATAATCACCTAGGCCATTCGAGAGGCGTAAGTTAATATCGAAAGCGAGGAATTATATTAGCATTTCCGAAAATGATATGCAAATAATGGTAAACTCTTTAGCAAAAAAGCGTTATATAAGTAAAGATATGGGATGATCTGAAATACTGACGCATGTGGGAATATATGGGCTTAGACTATATTTTAGCAAAATTTTCCCAAGCATTTGGTACTAACACCAGTCTATAGTTCATTACTGTGTTTGCTCAATATTGTCCACGTATAATATCGTAAAATATTATCTCATTGTGGACTTAGACAATGGGTGATTATAATTAAATTATCCTCTTCACAATCAAAGACTAAAATTTGATTAAAAAATGTTGTAAAGAAAAGATAAAAATTTTTTTGCAAATATTAATTGGATGGATACCAAGCAAATAATGCATTATATCTATGTGTTTTTTTATGAATATATTTATGATATATTTATGATATATGAAATGATATTTTTTCTTGCTTGAAGATGGTCTATAAATAAGGGAAATTCCAGCACCAACTGAAGCACCATTTTTTAATCTTTAGAGGAAAGGCAGATTCGTCGGAAAACCTATTATACTGCGAGTGACTCGCCCATTCGAGTATTTACATAGCAAAGCAAAAATTATCAATCCTATTACAATGAAAATTCTATTCAAGTCAAATTTTTTTAACGCTTCTTGGGTAAGATCAATTTTAAATTGTTTAAATCTCTTGAGAGGCATACAAATTAAGCAATAGAATCGATTTAAAAAAGATCTCAACAGTTGCAATACAAGCAGTTTTCCTTCGTAAAACTCTTCACTCCTTCTAAAACTTTGTACTACTCAGAGATTCATTGATAAAATCTTATTATCTCTTTAATGGAACTTCCTAACTCATTTCAAGTTTTTTATCGCATTTTCCAAAATATAGAATGAATAAATTTTATAATATTTTGATAAATAAATAATATCGTAAATGAATAAATATAAAAATGTTGTTTCGATTCATTTCAATTATGCGCCATAGATGAAAAAAAATAATTTCTGTTACTTTCTTTTTTAAGCTAAAAATAAAAAATTAAAATTAAAATGAAAAATGTAGATTTTGGAGAATTAAAGATAAATTAAGCAAATCAGTGGATAAATAAAATTGAAATATAATTGAAATTTCTTAGAAAATGTAAAAATTTTAAGAGGAAGAAGGAAAAGTGCAAAAAATTTATTTAAATAAATTATTACCTTGAATATTCTTAGGTACCAATTGGTAGTAGTATAAGCTTCTTCAAAATATTGCAAAGATATATTCTTATGGTAAACTTCCATCTTTCTCGCCTCATCAAAGCCATACATGTTCATCTAAATTGGACATCTTAAACTTTATTAATTTAACTTTATGCACTTCAATTCAATTTCTAACCTGCTTTATTTTGCAAATTTTTGAAATGAGCCTACTTTCTATAGTTTGTTCAGCCACGGCAAGAAAAATGAATAAATTAACAGTAAAAGGTAAATTTATTGCTTAAATATTATTCTTTGGATGCAAATCCTTAATTATGGTGCGTCAGATAACTTTATAATGTTAGGACAAGTTCATAGCTGAAAGTTTTATTACCCTTCGGTTATAAACTTTTCCAAAATTTTGATAGCTAAGTCTGTAAATTAGCGATTCGTGATATTTGGATTTTCCATATTCATCGCATCGAAATTGGCCATAATCAGACATATAATCGTCATCCTTTATGTGAGCACCAGTGTGCACTGAAGCCGAGATTCGCATTAGCCAGAAAAATTTGCCTATTTCTGAAATAGATGGCTATGAGAAAAAAAGTATAATATAAAATATAAAATCTGAATGTAAGGTAATGATATTAACAATAGTTCAATGATCATTTTATCACAACCATTCTCATTTGTTCATTTTTCCTCAAAAATGCTTAAAAATTATATTTCGTTTATTTGTATGGAATATGAAAATCCAAAATCTTTTATAATTATTGGATTGGATTTCTAAGCTAATCTTTCCGACTAAGACAGTTACGGTAATAAAGAAATTCATAGAATATAAACGAACCATCTGTTTCATGCGCATTGTATCCACCAAATGTTAAAGCTACGTAATCAGCGTCAAGCCTTTTTAATATTTGATAGCCTTCCTCTTCATTTGAAACAAGAGCCTTAAAAAACCGCATCATTTGTAATATGCATATACGACATTTTGTAATACGACATTTTTTTGAGAGTCAAAATTTTATTTACGACTCTGATATTAATTGAATCATGCTAACCAAAATAAAATTCCTGATAAAATACCTATTTTTATCAATTCATTGCCGATTGAGGATGTGCCCGACTTTAAATGCCTTGGATCCACTCTAATCCCAAATGGCTAGGCGAAGGATGAAATAACGTAGCTAGAAATATTTTTCTGGATGATGAAACCTTTATGAAACCGTCGCGAAATTACCATAAAGGCGAAAGATCTATATAGCCATGGCCGTGATTCGTTTAATCTTGCTATATGGCTGCGAAACATAGCCAATGAGAATGGAAGACATTAAGAAGCTCTCAGCCTTTGACCACTCTTGTCTAAGATATATTTTACGTATCCATCGAGAGATAAAATCGCACATAATTATAAACATTTATAATTATTCGCTCAATTACCACCTGCATTAATAATTTTATCACAGCCCGTCGCCTTCGCTGGTTAAGGCACATTCTACGTCATCCACCATGCATATTTCGTTACTTGTTAAACCCCGTGATTGGCGTCAAAAGCGAAGAGAGCCAGTCAAGACCTGACTGACACAAACAGGAAAGATATTTTAAACGTAGACGATGAAAAAAGGAATGGCTTCTATTACAGTAGGCAATAGTGTTGACTTGCTTGGAGATGTCTTACCCTTATAGCCAGCAGAGCCAACCTAAACAGTTATGGTGAGAGCTGGCTATAAGGGTAAGACATCTCCAAGCAAGTCAACAC